GGTTATGAAGAAACCTCACAGTTAATAGAGAGTAAAACTGCTCAAATGCACTGACTCAACTAGCCTCAACATAATAATACTATATAGAAAGGAAGTGCTTTTTATCGCTTTTTGCCATGTTGCACTTTTTCGGTTTCCTAAACTAATCAACATATTTCATAGTTTTAAAAAAAAGCCGTTCAATCAATTATTAAAACCGTTTAAGTAGAAAACCGTTCAATGAAATATTTTTTATTAGTTTTTATTAAAATCGTTTAAAAATTTAATAATTTTAATTTTTTTATACTCTCTAGACTATATTCTTCCAGCGTCCTTTGTATAGGAACAACAAGACGAATGAAGTATTATTATTATTATTTTTCATTAGTTGAACATTGCTAATTTTTTTACATAAATTTGCATTTTATAATTTAAAACACGATTAAAAAATGCCGAAGAAATATTTATATTTTTCACTTCTTTAACATTTCGTTGTTTTCAAGCAAAAAATAACTTTTATAGTTTTTGCGGTTGATTTTATCTAAAAACGAATTGGAAATATATTTTTTTTTGATTTTTATTTAAATAAAATTATATTAACTAAAGATCTTTTTACGCATTTTTCAATTGTTTAACACCTTATCGCGTTTATTTTTAAAACAATAAATACTTCAGTTTATCGGTGCCAAGAATTTTACTTTCACTATTTCAACTTAACGTACATGAATCCATTTGCAAACACATGAACTGTTATAAAATTATAACAGTTAACTTGGTAACGTTCTTTACATACAATCAAACAGATGAGCAAAAGATAATGCTAAATTATTTTATTAGTTTGGAATTTTTATTTTAATTCTTTAGAAATATCTTTGAAATTAAGTCAGATTTTTTTTTTATTTTTAGAAACTTTATTTTTTTTTCTTAGTTAAATTATGTTAGGAATATTTATTAAAGCTAGAAGTGTTAATTAATGCTGTAATTTTTATTGATACTTGAGTAAACGTAATCGTTTTCAATGCCTTTATTTGAGTAACTACTATATTATACTATACTCTACAATACTATACTATACTATACTCTACTATATACAATATTTATTGTTATTGAAACAATGTAAATATTTGTAATGATTACTAGCATTTGAAGTCGAAGTGCTAAAATAGACAAAAACCTTCACAGTTCAAAGTTTTTTTTTTAAATAGTTTTAAATATTAATAAAACATATAGTAACATATATATATGTATATAAAAATGACACACGTGTTTCAAAGTATTATTAGTAATAATAGTTTATCAATATTGAGTGACTAATCCCTTTTTCGGAATGACACATTAGGGTTGGACTCTAGAAAATATTTTTCTTTAATAGCAATATATTTAAAAAAATATAAATACTTGCTTTCCCTTCTTTATGACACCCATACCTTTGGCTTTATAAAACAAATCATTCATTTACTACTTTTTAACCAAATCTGTTGCCTATTCACACAGCACAATGTAATAGTAATTTTGAGTTTTATGCTCGCTTTGCTAAACACCCGTTCACACACAGTAAATCTTAATTTTATCTTAATTTAGTGTCTCATATTTATTTTTGTAATTGCGTTCGTAATTGAAATGATCGAATGTTGAAGTAATATTCATATTTAGTTTTATTTTACTTTAGTTAGTCAGTTATTTTACTAATTACGCTATGTAATTGTACTATTGTGAATTACGAATTTAATTTCAACTTTTTTTTGTATAAATTACTTTTCTATCGTATATTCCGACGTCAGATTTTTGTATAGAATAGAAATGTACTGTATAAAGGACTATTTTAAGATATTATGTGAGAATTACTTTAAGCGAACATCGACGAGACTAGCAATTCTGTCCGGTCAAGTAATAAGGGATATTACATTAAGGAAAGTACTTTATATGAAAAACGATAACTGGGGAATAAAAAAATTGCACAGGTAGTAAATTTATTAGTTTTATGATATAAAGTATAATAGTCCTTAATAGTTCACCAAATATGTCTTAGTAGTTGACAATTATATAAAAAATATGTTTTTTACTCTTAGAAATTATTTCATGTGTTCTAATCGTGGTAAAACCCTAAAAATACACAAAAACTTTTAATCTCCTTTATCTACATTAAAATATTTCTAATGATGTTATTAAATAATTAAAAATAAAACATCCGTATTATTAACACAATTAGTTTCAGATAATTTAATCTTAGAGAGATAAGGAATACAAAGGGCTGGATCGATTATTTAAGTGTCAAATAATTTGCTCCAATTTCTTTAATGCGAATATATTAAATAATTTTAAAAATTGCTTTTCATTGATTAACGTCAAAGTAATTAGCATTTTAGGGTCACAACAGCGAAGCCTATTAATCTCATTCACTTGTGAGAAGGAATTATATAAAAGAATTATATTATATTATTAAATAAAATATGAGTATTATGGGTTTAAGGTCTCTAAAAGTTATATACAATAGATTTTAATACTAAAGACTGCTGATTTACATATGGTTTTTATATTTTAGTTTAGTTGATTAAAAACTTCTGTATTCTATCTGTGAATTCTATTTGATTACTATGATTTCGTTATAATAGCTAAATATTATAAGACAAGCGACCATTAATGTCACTGTGATAAGAATATACATCTTAATATGATTATAATCATGATATGGCTATTATATGTTTATCATCATGTGTTTATCACTATCATCATAATGTAACTATCATCATAATTATCATTATGCGGTACAATCATAATCGTTACACCACTTCATAATCATTATTATCGTATTTTGATTAATCAAGAATTATAATAATATTTAATAATTACCATGTTACTATTATTATGTGATTATCATGTTGTTACAGGGTATTTATCATTATACGGTTGTCATCATCATGTGAACACAATCATAATACATAATTATATGAGCATCATAATAGAGTCTCGTCAACATCATTTTATAATAATGTCATAAATATCCTTTTATGAGAATTATCATAATAATTATCATGTACTTATCATTATCGTAATTGTCATCATTATTAGTATAATTAACATCATACGAATATTATCACAATAATGATAACATTTCAAAATTATCTTTAGCGTCATTGTAAGTATTTTTTTCTCTCTCTCTTTCATATTCTTCCACATGATTCTGGTTGCCTAACTTCTTCTACTTAAATTTAAACAAGTATCTTATTAACATCTACGAGTGGTCATTTTTGGTATTATTTACCTTATTATGTGGGTCATGATCTACTTCTTTTAAAGTTGTTTATCTATTATTTTCTATTATGTTTTGAATTAACATTAATTCTCTCCTCTACATTACTGCTGCAATATTTTAACGCCACTTACATTAAACTGTTTAATGTTCATAACTAATAGCTTTCCTTTTTCATTGTTATATATCATATGTTTAGTCCTTATGTTACCGGATAGATTGTAATACTAGATAGATTATACTTTTCCAAATTATGGTTAATTTAGATTTGGTTAAAAAATAGATAGATACATAAGTACCCAACATGTAGAGACCCATTTGAAAATGAACTCTGTGACTATTATATTTTTTGAACTACACCTGCTTTTAACAGAAGGTATTATGACTTATGAATCAAGACTAGAATATTCGAGGGTAAGAAGTTCCTGATATCAAAAGACGACAGGAGAAATGTTACTTTCCCTGTTATTTTCTTAACAGCAGTATAAAAAAATAATTACTTTAAAATTACTTCATATTATAGATTACAAATTCGTGGTAGAGAGCCTTCGTTAAATCAATATATTTATTATATATAATATTTATTATTTGTGCTGTGATTATTACTAACTTTACCACACCAGAGACCAGTTATTTGTCAAAGGATTTTTGAAGAGTCATTTTTCAGTGAGACTACTAGACTTTTATATAGACATATGTGGACACGTTATAACTGATATTTTAAGACACGCCACTTTGTCGCCTTATTTATCAATTAAAAGGTATAATATATACCATATAAATCAACACATTATAAATTTCAGAGCGGTCTTCAAAAGCTCTAGACGTAAACTAATATACATAAAGCTAAAAATTATATCCAGTAAAAACTAGTATATATGTATGTATAAAGTCAATTTGCTTCTAATTATAGAGAAGGTTGGATTGATTATTTCTCTGCATAGAAAATGATGTTATTATCTTTGATAGTTGGTTGGTTAAGATCTTTTTTTATTAAATGTGCATATGTTTTTTATATAAAGTAATATTTTTAAAATCGCAATTCTCATGTTTTTCTTTCTATGCAAAAATAATTAACTTTCATTGTTTTTGAATCATTATTTTATACTAAAATAAAAAAATCGTCCCATTACTGCAAAATTCTAGATGTAATCCGCACTGATGCTTAAAGTACTAATAGCAGAGTTTGCTGTGGCATGTTTATAATGAATTAATATAAAAATCTTCAATAGAAAGGTCTATGACCTATTTAAAATTTTTCTCATCTTAACGGTTGGTTGCCACAAGCGAACTTTATCCGCTCTATCACAGACACAAGTACTTAATTGATGCAATAATTAAATATAATTGTGTATCTTATATCTCTATGTTTTTATCTACAACAACAATCTCAACAATTCCAGCTTCATTCATTTATTTTACTTATACTTTGCATAATATTTGCATTAAATTGCCTCATAAATGCATTAAAACACTTTCCGAATGATGCGCTCTACCTGCAGGCCTTGTTAACAGTTGAAATCAGATATACTCCAGCCCTGTTAAGCCTCAAGTAAATACACTTTATCTTCTTTAAGCTTCGATAGATTATTTGCGGCAAGCTTGTCAAGTACTTTGTTTTTTTTCTTTTGTTAATAAAATATTCAAAGCAATTGCTGTTATTAACAAATCAACATAACTGCCCAGTCATCGTGACTACGAGCATTGCTTTTTCTACAAACTCACGACTAAACTGTGCAAAATATTCACACATAAACATTTTTTCTTTCAGACACAAATATGGATGTCCTATCCGACAACGAAAGTTCGATGCCAAGTTTTCAAAATTCAGACTTCTCGACGTCACCGATAGAGGAACACGATGCTAAAGACGACGACATGACGTTCTGCATGTCGAATTATGCGAAAGAGGCCTTGAAAATGATGTTCATGATGCGTTCACACCATATGCTGACCGATGTGGTACTGGAAGTGAAACAGGAGCTTTTTCCCGCACATAAAGTCGTACTATCGGCGGCGTCTCCCTACTTTAAGGCTATGTTTACCGGTGGTTTGAAGGAATCGGAAATGTCGCGTGTTCAGTTACAAGGTGTAAGTTGCACGTTCTACCAGCTGTGCTAATGCACAATTTTATCCAATAGCACCTTCAATAGTTGTATAGTTTTGTTAATCATACAGGTGTGCCCCACAGCTATGGGACGCATTATTTACTTTATGTATACCGGACACATACGCGTAACAGAAGTAACCGTCTGTCAGCTCTTACCTGCTGCCACCATGTTCCAAGTGCCAAATGTGATTGAAGCCTGTTGTGCCTTTCTCGAACGTCAACTGGATCCAACAAATGCCATTGGTATTGCAAATTTTGCAGAACAGCATGGTTGTGTGGAACTGCAAAAGAAAGCAAATTATTTCATTGAAAGACATTTTACACAGGTGAGTTAATATTCTTTTCCTTTTTCTTTACTTCTCGATTTAAAAAATCTATAGTTTTATACTATATGCAATCATAAATCTCAATATTTTTAGGTATGCCAGGAAGAAGAATTTCTTCAGCTCTCAGCCTATCAATTAATTGCATTGATACGCCGTGATGAACTGAATGTGCAAGAAGAACGAGAGGTATACGATGCGGTGCTAAAATGGGTAGGTAACACAAACATGTAATATCTCATAGGGCCTAAAATATTATATATGTTATATATACACATCAGGTTAAGTACGATGAGGAAAACCGTTATCCGAAAATGGAACATATACTATATGCTGTACGTTGCCAATTCTTAACACCAAGCTTTCTAAAAGAGCAGATGAAGAACTGTGATGTTTTGCGTAAGGTACCTGCTTGTCGAGAATATTTAGCTAAAATCTTCAAAGACTTAACGCTACACAAAAGACCGGTAGTTAAAGAACGTACGCCAAATACAACGCGAATGATATTTGTAGCGGGCGGTTTCTTTAGACAATCATTGGATATATTAGAAGCCTATAATGTTGATGATAAAACGTGGACGACATTGCCAAATTTACGTATACCGAGATCAGGATTGGGAGCAGCATTTCTTAAAGGCACATTTTATGCTGTTGGAGGAAGAAATAATTCTATTGGCTCTTCTTATGATTCTGATTGGGTGGATCGTTATAATGCTATAACGGAACAATGGCGACCCTGCGCACCAATGTCTGTACCACGTCATCGTGTTGGTGTAGCTGTTATGGACGAGTTGATGTACGCTGTGGGTGGTTCAGCGGGCTCAGAATATCACAATACAGTTGAATAGTATGTTAACATATTTTTTCATTTTTTTGCAAATTATATATATTTATACTTGATTATATTTTCAGTTATGATCCAGAACAAGATCGTTGGACATCTGTGCAACCAATGCATGCAAGACGTTTAGGTGTGGGTGTGGTTGTTGTTAATCGTTTACTGTTTGCTATAGGCGGATTTAATGGAACCGATCGTTTGGCTTCAGTGGAGTGTTATCATCCTGAAAACAATGAATGGAATTTTGTGCCATCAATGCATACTGGCCGCAGTGGAGCGGGTAGGTGTAAAATCATAAAATAAATCATATATAGCGTCCTTATATCAGAGTACTTATCGAGTATTTATCGATAGAAAAGATTCTTAACCTATCTTGGGAACATCGCAATTGGCAATAGTTGACTCTGAGTAAAATTGTTGATACTAGTATTAACATATACTCTTTCATCTTGTTACTTCTTCTGATAATGCAACTCAATGCGAATAATGGCTGTAAAACTGAAACTAATTGATAACGACTTTCAGACATTACACATTGTATAAAGTATAGCCAATACACTTTTACAAAATGACGTATCCAGGGAGGATAAAGGAATAGGTTCCACTCTTGACTGTTAACCCATGACTTTTTAATATATCGTCCCCTGACTCCGCCACTACTTATAGTGACACATTATATATCACATCAAAAGAAAATGTATTAATAATTTTGGTTTTCATGAGTTGACAGTGATATCATTACTCATTAACATGTTACCAATCATTCATAACACATATATATATATATATTCTTTAATAATATATTTTCTTTTTTTATGTCTTAGGTGTTGCAGCTATCAATCAATTCATTTACGTTGTGGGTGGCTTCGATGGAACACGTCAGTTATCATCAGTAGAGCGGTTTGATACCGAAAATCAAACTTGGGAAATTGTGGCACCAGTAAAAATTGCGCGTAGTGCTTTATCCCTAACCACGTTGGATGGCAAGTTGTATGCCATTGGCGGTTTCGATGGCTCTACATTTTTATCTATAGTTGAGGTTTATGATCCAAGAACAAATGTTTGGGAACAAGGCACACCACTAAGTTCAGGACGTTCTGGACACGCATCCGCTGTTATCTACCAACCATCTTGTGTAGGTACTTTTATGGATTGCATTGAGAGTGAAAGTGCTAAACGTGGCGATGGCAATTCAAAGTCCGACGATAATAGCAGTGACAGCAATCCACGTTGCTACGGTAAACCAGATCGACCTTCTTCCAGTTATACGCATTACCATACATCTTTTGGAAGTTCTGGCTGTCGAAATTGTGAAAGTGAACATGAACCAGTAAATTCGAATATATCCGAAAGTGTTCATATGACAGAATCTATGCGAAACATCTTTACATTAGAACCATTTCAAGGGAGAAAACGACGAAGCCGGTTATGTGCCATAGAGAACCCTAAAATCACAGTAACAGAAGGACTATATTATAATAATACGATATGTAAAAGGTTTTTACCGAGCACAAGTTCGCATAGTACATCACCTCCGAGTGAAGAGCATCAGGAGAGTATGGAGATCGCGGATATTGCGGAGATTGCGGAAGAGGAGCAAAGTAGTAGTAGCCCAGTTTGTAAGAAAGATGTATGTAAGCGTAACTGCAAGTCCAAATGCATTTTTGAAGCATTCAAGAATACTACTGCGGGTAACATGATTGGGCAATTTGTCAGCTCCATTTGCGAGAAGAACAAAAAAGACTCGGCAGTGTCATGATAGCAATAAACTAAAGTAATATATTTGGTTGTAGTTAGTTAGTGTTCTGGATTAGTGCGGTTTAGCTCTTAGTTAGAAAACAAATTATTTATCTCTTAAGTAGCAACAAAAAAAAATTATATTTTTAATTTTTTATTGTAAATATGTTACGTTTTTATTCGTTTAGATTTAAGCATATATATATGTTTATATGTATGAAGGTTGGATATTCACTCAATAGGGAAATTATACTGTTATTATATATCAAATATATAAATTATTTGTATTATATACATCTGAACTTAATTGTGTAAATATTTAAATTATAACAACGTAAGGTTAAACAGTTCCAAAAATGATTATAATCATTCCAATATAAAATTTTTTATATATTTCATTATATAAACACAAGCAAGGCACTCATTAAATATAATCTAAATAAATATTTTAAGCTATTAATTACAATTATATTAAAAACTAATATAATATATATAAAAACATATATATTAATTAAATGTAAAAAAAAAACTTCATGTATTATACCAAAATAATGTTAATGTTTATAAAAAACATTGGAATAACTTCCACTGACTGTGTAAGGAATGATTTTGTTTCAAACAAAAACTATGTAAACTTCCTCTATTTCTTCAGAATTATCAGCGCTATAAGCAAAATAATAAATATTTTGTAAATATTTAATCTATACACTAAGACATCTTACCATATTAATAAAGATTATGTTATATGTATATATTTTTAGCAATTGATAGACACTATTCGATTAGGCAACTACGCAAATGTTTGAAAGAATTAACTTTTATTCATTTTCAAAAGGTTTTAACAATTATAAAAGAACTTTTATATATCTTTTATTTATCTATTGTACTTTATTAAAATGTTTATATCAATATATAAATATTTACTTAATTTTATATGCTTCCAAAGTGTTATTAAACCAATTTGTATGTAGTTAAGTTTTTTAATTTATGCAATAAACGATATATATTCCTCTCATTTCCTAAGAATTAATTTAAAGAAAAATATTTATGTCAAAACTCATTTATTTATACTATTTCAAATATGTATATTTAAGTAATATATATTGAAAATTAATATATATTGAAAATATATTTAAATAATATATTAAATTAATAGTCAAAATATGTACCTTAGTAGATATGAAATAATATACAATTTTACATAATGTGAACACAGTGTTTTTTTATTAATATTTTTAAAATAATAATTATTAAATTAATTATTAAATATTAAAGCAATTACAGACTTCTTTGTTTTCGTGCACGTGGAGGATTCCAAGTTACGCGTGTATTGTCGGTGATGGAAATAATATTGAGTCCACTCATTTGTAAACCTTTTATGGCTGACTGAAAACATAAGAAATATATATCGTCAATGTGTGTGTTGGATTAACTCTTACATACAAAAAGATAATTTAGCTTTTAAAACCGTAACATTAAAAATTTTCTAATACTAATTTTAAAAATGAAGAAGGTATAGTACTCCCAATTCAAACTCTCAATTAAGATTCTGCCAATAAAATATATCGAAACTAAATTGAGGATCGGTAAGACGTAGTGCTTTATATATTTTCCATACTATCCGAAGTTTTGAGGATTTTAATACTGCAGTATGCATGCATTCTACCATTTAACTCGAGCACAGCAAGCCATATAGATCTCCAGGGGCTACTACAACAAGAACAAGATATTCGAACATCCTGTTTTTTTTGCAGTATATGGAAAACATCAACAGCCTCAGTGTAAGACATCAATCCACTAAAAGCAGCTCTTAGGAACTAGTAGAGCAGATCTCAGTCATTAGACTGTGAAAGACACCTGACTGAGGTCGTATTCCAGTAATCAGGAGTAAAGATGTAAAAAACTTAGTAGTTGAACAAACACTTTACGGTGCTCAAGCATTTGTTATTGCACCTATTTGTATACAATAGGTGTAGATGTTTAATAGATGTTATTGTTATAGCCCGAGAAGATCTATATAGAAATAACGAAGGCATATGAATATATAGGTTAGGATATGAACTGAGTAGGTGTTAAGTGAGTAGAAAAGGAATTGTTTAGGATAAGGAATGGAAAAGAGGGTGTTTCATAAGCGCTATGATCAACATCCCAGTACCACACGTAAACAACACTGTTCCACACTTCCAACAGGAGTTAAGACGTGAGTATGTGAGAAATATTTAAACATATTAAACATTTAAACTGTCAATAATATAGTAAGCATTTACAGCTACTGATAAAACAGGAAAGAACAATAATTAAAAATAATAAGAATATTATAAGAGAAACCGAAATGAGATTTAATAAAGCGAAATTTAGAAAATATTTTAAAAGTGGATTACGTGCTGAGTATTCAATTGAAATATGTTTTATCCATGTTACACATCTATAGTCACTAAGTCTAGGACAATATGTACAAAAATATAATTGTTTTTTTATCTCTAAAATTTTTGATCAATACTTTTAAGTCATATTTTAGTGAATATAAATTACCATTCTTCCAGGTCCTAAGCCACGCACTTGAACACGTACTGATTTCCAACCAATTTCCATTGATTTCTATAATAAAAATGTTGGAATAATTAGAAAATAGTAATAATAATTTTAATATTTACCGATCCGATTGTTATTGCAGTAGCCTGGGCTGCAATGTTTGTGCCCTTTCTCGTATTTTTAAATCCTTCAATACCACAAGAGCGTATAAACCGTGTTGTACCTTTGTGGTGTAATAATAATTTTTTTATTATATTGGCTTCAACATTTTATAATAAAGTTTACCTTTATAATCGGTAACAGATATTATTGTATTATTAGGTGAGACACGTATGTTACAAATTGGTAATTCGCTAAAAGGAATTCCATTGAATAATTGCTGTGGTGTGTTGGCATTAGGAAAGAATTTTTCTTTTTTTCTAACAATATAAAACAATAAATATATTTATTATATATATACTATGCATAATATACTTACTTTCCTATTAATGTATCAATGTCCACTGATCTCTCACCAGCCGTACCTTCGTCCTTTGCAGGCATGGATGCTAACATTTCTTTTCGATCTTCAACTTTTAGTAAACATGGTGTCGAGTGCAGGTGACGAAATTGGTTTCGTGCTATCACTAATTTTTGTGTATTTTGCACTAAAGCCGAGAGCGCGCTTTTAAAAGACATTATTTTATTCAAAAAATTTATTTAAAAATGTAAAACAAATTATATATCATCTCAGCCGACAGCACCAAGCATTTATTATTATTATGTCACAACAGCTGATTTTGACTTTGACACATGTGTTGAGAATAGGGTTACCAGTGCTTGAAATTGTAACGTTTTTGAATTAGTTGCTATGAAGTTGCTCTGCTAAAGTTCATATGTCATGGATTGTTATTCAAAGCGAGATATAATTGTTTTGTTTGAATTTATTTATTTAATAAAATTTAGACAATATGCATACGATATTATATACGATATTATATTTACTAAAATTAATACATTCCAAATACAAGTTATTAAATCTAAATAAAAATCTCAACAGAAACCACAACGCATATAGCAGTCATAATATATAATAACAGAAACTTGCATATCAAAAGTTGAGTTTTAATTTTAATCTCTTTTTATTGTATATTTCTTAAAATGCATTAGACAAAATTCACAAGAAACAAAGAGAAACGCTAAGCGGGTTGAAGTTATAAATGGCGGCTTTGGTCCTTTTTAGTATATACCAAGCACCAGTGAGTCAAAACAATCTATAAAAGTTAAATATCAGAAAAACTTAGATGTGTGGTTTTTCTGAGTGATTTAAAAATTTGAATATGTATATTAAAATGAACGCATATATATGTAACATATTAACATTTAGATATAAAAACATTGTAAAACATTTCTTCAAAAATAAAAAATCGAAAATCTCTATGAAAGAAATATCACAAAGTCCTATGCAGTAGTGATGGATTTTATATACATATATGTTAGAGTAATAAACACTTAAGTGAAAAACATGAATGGCGTCACATCAATCTAACATAAAATATAGTATAAAGAAAAAATTCAAATTGAAGCACAACCCACTGATCACGCACACAATCCAAATTTAAAAAAATTCAGCATCTTACCGAAAAGAAGCAACAGTACAAGAAAACTGATGCTAAAAATTAAATATATATCATCAACACCCCGATAAGTCAGTTTTAAAAATTTAAGGAATACATTGAAAAATATATTTCATCATATAGAAAGTTATATGCTACATATTATATATATAAACATTTTGTTCTTTTATTTGCGACCAAAAAGTAGAAATTAAAAAAAATCCTATAATTTATTATTTATATATAAAAACAAATTATATAATTGTATAAAATTATATATAAAATTTAAGATAGTCGAAATATCGGAAAAACATTTGAATAAAATATAATTTGTTTTTAAATATAAATAATAAATTATACTTTTTTTTATTTCTATTTAAATGACCAATTAGCCCGCTATTAATATATAACTGTTTTATATATATGTATATATATATATTTAATATATAAATTTATATTTGTAATTGCAAAGACAAAAAATAAAAAAATAAACTATTAAATAATATTTAATATTAATTACACTAAGTAGTTTATTCATTAGTGTTCTGATTATTACATTATTCATATATTTATCACAGAAAAAAAAAGAAATGAATGTGTTTTTTATATAAAAACTTACTTTAAACCTTAAAATACTAATAATATAAAACAAATATTTTTTATGTATGAATAATAAATAAAATAAATTAATTCAATAATATAATAAAGTTTTATTACAATTAGTTTAGGCGAAGGAGCCTTTAGTCCACTCCCTTATTCATAGTTAACTTTAAAATTAATTTTAATCTTAACTCACAAATAAATAAATATATATTACAAATATACTTCTAATGTAGTTAACAGCAACTTATTTTGTTATCTGCTAAATTAGTACTTAAAATGCTACTTTTCGAGCTCACACGAGCACTGGTTCATTCATAAACCGATTGGATTGTGTAATTTTTGAGTTCTTATTTAGTTCAATAGAGAGCGTATATTATTCAATGAAACCAACACAGCCACAACAAATGCGATTGAAATTTTTGT